GAATAAGGACTTGAGTTCCAATCCCAGTATTCACATAAAAAGCTGGCTATGATCACCATGTATGTCTGCAACCCTAGTATGTGGGTAAGATGGAGACAAGAGGATAACTGAGCTTCCTGACTCCAGGCTCAGGGAGAGAGAGACCTTGTTTCCTTGGGGGGAAGTGATAAAGCAGGACATCTGATGTCCTCCTCTGATCACCAGGATTATACATATAGATGACCAGCCACACAAAAGTGTACACGTTTAACACATACATGCACATACACCACATAAAAAATTACACAAGCCAAAGAGAAAGAACCCTCACAGTAAGACAGAGTTAGTAGATAAACCAACAGCAAACCTGCCTACAGTTTTCTTTGAGATTGAACCGTTGGTCATTAACCTGACAACAGCAATTGAAACTTTGGGGAATAATTAATGTTTTCTGATAAACAGTCACATTCATTATTACATAAAAATCATACATTGGGGGATAAGTCAACCTGACTCTAAGACAGAACTTGTAAAGGGTTGATTCGATCCCCAGCATGGCAAAAATAGAAGCAAACAACCAAAATAACCCACAAATAACAAAGAAATGAAAGTCCAGTTCTGGGCTCTTGGATCATTTTGGCTGCTGGGCCTCCACAACATCTCTCCCTGTGCTGGGAAATATCCCTGGGTAAAGTTCTTGTTTACGTAGGGCATTCAGTGGTGAGGTACCCATTGGTACATGGATGGGACTCAAAGTGGGGTTGTAGGCTGTCTGAAGAGCTCAGACAGAACTGGTCAGACACGGCATTGCTGACCAGTGTGAGCCCAGGCAACTTTCCATCTCAGTCCAGCTTTCCTGAAGAGGTGCTTCTGCCTTAGTAAAGCTCATTCCTTGTGGAGGCAAAACCAGTCATTGACATCTCCAGGTTTTTGTTTTCTCTCCCTAGTGAGCCCAGAAGAGAGATATTCCCTCCATATTCTCAGCCAAAGAGGATAAGTTTGTGAAGCCTGGTGAAGCCTGTCTCCTTTTCCATGACCAAGGAGCAGCTAAGCCTGGTAAAATCTTGAGTGGCTTTAAAAGGAGCCATCGGCACTTCCAACGATCTTAGTTAGGACTCGGTGTTTTGGGAAAGATGAAACAGCTTTTTGAAACATTGATGACAGAGACACATTGGCTAACCTTCATACCTATGGAGTCTGGAAGCGTTCAGCAGCTGAGTCACACTTGACCAGGTCAGGAATAGGAACACTGAACAGGGCTAAGAATAGCAAAGGCATTCTGGTTCCAAAGAACATTCAAGAACCAGCTCTCCAAACACAACAAAAACAGGGAACAAAAACCCAGGAAAATAAAGGGACCAGAGCAACCTGCAAAGTGAGATCACATAACTAAAGCTGGCACTCTTCAGAATCTAGCAGGCTGGATGCTGATCTTTGCTCGGCTGGCTACTGGGAACAGCATACAGGACACTAAGCATGGCCTACAAAACAGGCAGTGGGTGTGTGGAACTCAGAGGCCACGAACTCCAGGCTTGCTGACTATGGAGCTGCTGCGAGCCTGTGAGTTAGCTGAGAGGTCCCATGGTGCCTGTTGTTCTTCTATCTCAGATAATGGCCCTTGGAATATTTACCTTTGGCTATGGCAAAAGGAAAGAAACCTTCTGTACCCTTGGGGCACAAAAGATCTCAAAAGACACATAAGGGTTGTTTGTAAACTTGAGGATGTTGTAAAAGGCAGAAGGCGAAATTCTGATGGCACTCCCTCCGTGAATGCACTAAAATGTGCAGATACAGCTCTCCAACACTGTCCCTGCTGAAGGTGCATCCTCCCCAGTGTACGCAGAATAAGAATAGGTGACCCGGGATGGCCAGACACACGCACAGCTGACAAAGGAAGGCCGAGGGCAGATTGTTAAAGATGACATTTTAATCTGTGCAGGCACATTTACATCACATAGGCTATGGCTCAACAGAAGCGTACTTTGTTTTTGTTTTTTAAGTTGGGGGCTTCTAAATCAGCCACCAGTTCAGAACAGCACAGAAAAATGAAAGTCAGAGTCTCAGTGTCTAACATTGGGCAGACGCACAGCCCACAGTGAAGAACAGTCACAGGTGGATAGGAGGAGGAGGCAGATGTTGTGTGGACGGAACACAGGGACACGGAGAAGCTCAGCAAAGCGCTTGCCATGCCTGTCCACTGAGTGACTGAAGCTGAGCATCCCTGGCAACCTCGAAAAGCAACACAGGTCTCAAGCGCATCAGCACCCCTTTTCCTCGTTCCTCTTCCACATGTCCACTTGGAAAGCCATAGTGAGAGGAAATCCAGTCGTTTCTGGATCTCCACTAATTAATTAGATTAACATGATTAATTTAGTAATATTCTGTGCTGTTTGAGATTCATTCCTGTCCTAAAGATCATCCCAGCTAACACCAGGGCTGCTGTGGGGTCACTGGCCCTTAGCAGGTTCCTTCCATTCATCCAGGGAGTGGGGATCATGGCTCGGGTTGCTCCATGGGTAAGGCTGCCCCACCCCTCCACTCTGGGTCATTGGGAATTCCTGGAGGTAGCAGTTCACTGCCGTATAGGGAATGGGGTCACAGGCAGGACACCCTGGCTTTCAGACCCTGCTCAGGCCTTTCAGGGGCTCTGTCTGGTACGGGAGGAAACTCCTAGGAGCGATTCTTGGAGTAGCAAAAAAAAAAAAAAAAAAGCGATGGAATAGTCACACTGTTTCTCATGTTCTCAGTCCTAATTCAATTCTTCTTAGAAGTACAACTGAGGGTTGTTTCATCTGGGAGGTGCTAACATTTAGCTCAAGTTAGGGAACAAAACCAAGAAGCAATCACCAGGAGCATTAGGGAACGTTGGGTTTTGCTTTAGAAATCACTTCTTTACAATGCTCAGCAGTGGGCTGTGATCAGGATGTTATTCTCTACAGCCAGATGCAGTGATTGTTTCTCCTGGTGCCATGGTCCTAACCCAGGCCTTCGTGCATGCTCGGAAGACCTTCTCCTGCGGAGGGACAGACCCAGGCCAACGTTTCATTTCTTCTTTAACTTGAAACACATTGCGTGCCACTTATCTGACTGGCACTGGAAATCTACCTAACCTCACATTGCACCAGAACTAGCACATCCCAGTTCCGAAAGCCAGCAGGACTCGGGAAGAGGCTCAACGAGAATAAAAACGAGGAATTGGTACTTCTGAGATCGGAAGCATTCCTATCCCCACCTTAGTGTTTAAAGATGCTAAACAGTCCACATCACCCCGGAGCACACCTGCTGGCCCTGCTGGCCTTTAGAAACCATTTCCGAAAGCTGCTCTTTTGGAGGGTGCCGGCAAGATCCAGAAGAAGGAGCCAGGTGAAGGAAGAGAATCCATCGCACATCAGGTCCTCAATACAGACAGATAAAAGGCTGAAGCTGGGGGGTGTGTGCGGTCCCTGACCCTGGCTGAGGTGACAGTCTGGAACAGAGTCCAGTCACCTCATTTTCGCTATGTCTGACCCATTCAACGCCCTGAAAGTCAGGGCAAGTGCTTTGAATTAAACAGTAACTAAACATGAGCAGACTACCACAAATAACAAGTGAGAACTTCAGAGATAAGAGTTGGATAAAAGAAGTAGGTTTTGATTCTTTAAAAAAAAATATGGTTGCTCTTAGTATATAGGCACTGTAACAGCCATGTCGAAAATTCTGGAGAACCATAAATGCTGGTTTTGGGTTCAGCTCCTGCTTCTCTGCACAAACTTAGTTGTTGCTTCAGTCTCTATCACCTATTTCCATCTGTCTGTCTTTCCCAAGACGTCAGGTCCTTTGAGCCAGCTTGCTATCATCATGATGACCACTAGATGGCCTCCGGTTTCAGGAGTTGAAAACAATGCTTTCTAAAGCCCACATCCTTCTTGATTCTACCCAATGGCACCAGTAAGACATCCAAAGAGATCCTTCCAGATTTCATTTGCATCAGTACAGTGTAGTTACGTGACACACACATTTACATGAATTACACTTTGCACACAATTGAAATATGAAGATGGGAAAGAGTGAGACATCAGTAATGTTTTAAGTAGCTAGGCAACTCCTGCTGGCCATGTCACAGTGAGTATAATGTGGGGACATTAGTGTACCTGAACTTGACCTCTGGGATCTGTAAGCATCCTGTTGCTTTAAATGTAATTCTAGTTTGTGGTCATGTGTGAATTGTTCCATATTTTAGCTGGCCAATATGAAAAGTAAGGGACCAGACAAAACAAAGCAAAACAAAACAAAAAGTAACACGTTTCATGACAGAAAAGCAACGGGCTGGCTAAGTTTTCCTTTCCTTGCGCCATGTGCAGTTAGGAGTTTCTCAAGGGGAAGTTTCACCAGCTTCCAATTTTAACATGCAAGGTGACTCTCCTGTGAGGTATGACGTCACTGAACTGTTAGAAGCAAACTTGCCATCATTGGGGCAGCACTCTCTGACCCTCTCCAGAAGCAGGTCTCTGACAATCCTGAGGAAAATCGGTGCTCAAGGGACAGGCATACCAGAGATTGGCAAATAGATTCGAATATTGTACAACTGCCATGCTGAAAATATCACAGCTTGCAGCATTTACTAAACTTCTGCTTAGTGCTTATTAAACTTCTGCTCGGTACTCCTTCTATCAGTACCAAGTTCAACTGAGCAAGGCCATATCCCTGAAGAGAAGTTGAGAGGCCATGTGCACAATAGGTCCTTGCTAACAGATGTTGTGTCAACAAAGGTACCCCCTGCAAGGTCCTAAGAGTCTACTCCGAATCTGACCTCCATATTTATTATTGATGGAATATTCTATTCCTGTCTAACCAGGCCTTGGAATTCTGGCCTCTGTGTGATATTCTCTAGCCCTGAAGAGGCTCACTGCATACAGTGTCCATTTTCACAATGTCATCAAAAAGAATGAAAAAATAAATCTACACTGAAATATTCATCTGAAAATGAAAATAAAGGTTGTTTAGAACAGTAACTGTGGCATTAACAGACTAAAGGCTGACAGAACTCTCTACCTTCCAGCAGTGACCTAAAACAGAGGAGGAAGTTCAATGACTGTTCAATGACTGGCTTAAGGTCACAGGCTCAATGTGGAGCAGTCAGATCTGAGGAGCTCAGAACCAGGGCTCCCTTCACTGTAGAGTGTTGCCACCTTGGAAGGATATTCATTCACATTCTCTAAGTCATGAGGTGTGGAGAGGTAAGGACTGCTGTTAGCTCTTCTGGATGCAATAAGGAGAAGTTTCTGGCCAGGTGCCGAGAACTGTCCCCCGAAGATGACGAAGCTTCACAGATTGTTATTCTGGCCATTTTCTTCTTCTGGGTTGTTTTTGGCTTGTTCCAAGGCTAGATTTGCTTGTCTTTGATTAAAGTCTCTTTTTACTCTTAAAGAAGAGAGAGAGAGAGATTGTTCATTCAAAGGAAAAATGAACTTAAACTTTTGAAACAATAGCATATAATTGAATAATTTTTTACTATTTTAAAACTTAATTAAAATATAATCACGTCATTTCTCACTCCCTTTCCTCCGTCCCACCCCTTGTTTGTCTGACCCAGGCCCCTCCCAAATTCACTCCCTCCTCCTCTTTAACAACTGAAGCTGGAAGTAAAAATGAATAAATACATAAATACAACCTGCTGAGTCCATTCAGGGTTGCCTCAATTTATAAAGAGGTAAGAGCTGAAAAAAAATCTTAAAAATCATGTGTTGGGTTGTCAAAATGGCTCAGGGGGTAGAGGCGCTTTCCAACAGGCCTGACACCCTGAGTTTAATCCCTGGGACCCACAAGTGGAAAGAGAGAAATGGCTCTTGCAACTTGTCCAATGACTGCCCCCCTGTCCCCCCAAACATTAAAATGAAACATTTTTAAACTGTCACTGTGATTACAATCCAGTTTCCCTAAGTAAAACTATGACACTAGGGTTATTTATCAGAAAAAAAAAAAACACTGGCAGAAAAAAAGGCTTTAGAAATTTCAAAATTTTTATCCTATATTTGCATAATTTTAGAATCAGAAAAATTAGAGCTTAAAATCGATCAAATCTCTGCAAATGAAATCTGCCTAAATAGCATCATTTCAAGCTGCTGGACTTCACCCCATTACTCACTTTTCTCTGTTGAAAATGATAAATTCCTTCTGAACGGCATCAAGGTGCTCTTGAAGAAGACAGGTCTTCAAGGTGAGCACAACAAAGAAACAGAAGGATGCTTAGATGACACACAGGGACCACAAATAGCCAATGACCTCTATTTGGTGAACAACCTGGATCGAATCCACAAGTGCAGATTGGTCATAGTTTTACTGCTTGCTGTGGGACAATGGTCTTTTTTCCTGTCACTTGTATTATTTTTAATCAAATTCTGATTGGCCAGTAGTTAAGTAGGAAGTATAGGTGTGACAACCAGGCAGGAAGTAGAGGTGGGGCAGTGAGAACAGGAGAATTCTGGAAAGAGGAAAGCTTGGTCTGCAGTCGTGACCCAGATGCAGAGGAAGCAAGGTGTGACTGCCTCTCTGAATGAGGTAATGAGCCATGTGGCTAACATAGACAAGAATAATGGGCTAATAGAAGTGATAAGCGTTAATAAGAAGTCTGAGCTACTGGGCCAATCAGTTTGTAATTAATGTAAACCCCTGTATGTTTCTTTGGGACTTAGTGACTGTGGGAACAGGGCAGGAGAGAAACCTCTGTCAACAACTGCTAACACAGTAGTGGTTAACCCACCGTCCGTGCCCCTGTCAGGGAGTCCTGTACATGCCCCTTCAGCAGCCTGTACCACACCTTTCGGGAGACATGATGGGAAATTAAGATGATGTCCTTCAAAGCCTGGGGACCCATGTTCTGGTGCTGCTTGGTGCTTGTCAACAAGAAGGTACAGACAGTCTAGGGGCCATGGCAGCTGTGCCTATCTCATTACCATAAACCCCTAACACCAGGGAAAAGCAGGCTTCCAGATGACCTCCCCACAGCAGCTCTGGAATGAACTGCCCTTACCTGGCTTGAGGGGGAACCCACCTACCTGAGAGGAGTCGCATTTCCTCATCTCCTTCTCTTTTTTGGCCAGGCGCTTCTTTTTCTTATGAAGAGGTTTGGATTCCAAAATCATTTCTTCCAGTTCAAAAGTAGGGTCACAATTGAGCCTGCCTTTCTGTAAAGAGGAAAGCATGGCTCAGTCCTTAGAGGCTTGCATCATTCCTAAGACTGTATAAACCTAATACAGAGAACAGTACTTAGTCCTAAGGGGAACAGTTCAAGCATAAAAACTTGAATGGCCGCTGAGGTTTTATAGCACTGACTGCCAGCCTTGTCATTTATAGTCTTTGATTGTATAGTTTATTTATTTTCATATGCTTCTAACTATCCCTCAGTGAGTAATGGAGGAGACCATATTAAAATAATATTTCTAAGGTTTGAGCTCTTGGGTTCCTTAGTTTGTTCCAATGACCGCATAGATCAGAACCATGGCCATTGCTTGTTCAGCTGCCAAGGTCACCAACCAACTTTCAACATCAGGATTTCTGAACATGAGGCCAAGAATTTGCCACTTGCCAGGTTCTTCAAATGAGTTAGGTTATCAGAAAGACCCACGATCTATAAGGTGGAGCCTCTCACAAGAATCAGGAGTGGCTAACAGAAGGGAGTTTGTGTTTGCATCAGGTGCTATCCAAGGTCCCACATACTTACCTCAGTATGCACCCAAGTACAAATGTCTCCCCGCTTTCCTGTTGCTCACGAAGGTAGACACTTATACTCTTGAATGTTGCCTCCCCGCTCCCTCCTTTCTTCTACAGGGCTTTTACTTGACAAACTCACTGGACATCTTATCCAGCCGTTCAGTGCAACACATGTGCACTGAACATGTGTTCGTGTCCCCATAACAAGTGCCTCACTTGGACTTGAACAGAAAATTCAAGAGCCTGTGGGAGCACATCATTCTTGCCAATGTTTCTCTGCCCAGTGGTACAACTCACATCCAAGACAGAGAGGAGAGAGAAGCATTAGGAGTAGCCCTGCCTAAGCTTAATCCAGCCGTGTGCAGTGGGACACAGAGACACTTGTTTGGTACTCACCCCATGGGAGTTATCTCTCTGCAATTACTAGCTCTTAAAACTATGGTCAATACAGTAAATCTTAGAAAAGAAGAGGAATGATCCTGGGGGTGAAGTTTCCCACTAAGCAACTCACAGATTTCCAAGGACAGCAAAGATTACTTCCTTGCAAGAAGAAAAGAGATTGCTCTTTTCAACCAGCATATTTCTGGAAATAACTATTTGGGAGACTAGAACCTCTTACAGCACAAATCATGGCTACAACCTAGAAGCCCAGACATCAACTCCCTAGATTGGAACCCCAGTTTAGCTTCTGGCCAGTTGTGTGATTTGGGGGGGGGGGGTGTCAATTTACTCCATGTATCTCTCTGTTTTCTCCACTGTAAAACTAGTCCTGGGGCATTTTTCCATTCCTGGTGGGATCATCAAATAAGGCCCTGCATGAACTTGTACACAGAGTAATGTGGACAGAGGGTGGGAGCTATTAGGGCTTGTTAGACTGGACTTACAGTTGGAACGAAGCCTGGAATGAGCCTCTTCTGAAGCACTGCATCCCAGTTCATGTCACTCATGTAAGGGAAACTCTGAATGTCAGTCAAGTGGGAAAATCGTTGGTCTGGATTAGGTTCAAGTAGCTGCCAATGAAATACAAACATCATTGTCACAAGGAAGACCAGATAGGTGAACCCCAAAATTTCCCCCTAAGTGTTCTGCACGAAGCATCCAAAGGGAGTTCCTTGCAGCAGAGATCAAGCAAGCGGTTTGACAAGACAGTGACCTCCTTCTCCTACCCACATGCAAATCCTGTGGAGAGTGCATGCTTTGGAATGACACTAGAAGTAGTGCTTGTTACATGATGAGTCAAATGGATTGTCCCTGGAATCCAATAGAACTTCCCTTCCTGACTCTCCTGCTAGGCAAGACAGATTTCTAAATCTTAGCTTACCAAGCTCAAATCATGAAAAACAGTATGAAGTAAACATGGCTTTACAGAGCTGAGACCTGAAGCTGTGTCTACAAATGATGTAAAATGGGTAGCAACCTTTTTTTCTTTGTATTGTTGCACCAGTTTATGACCCATTGAAGCCAATATGTGATTTTACTGTACTGGGCTCACATGCAACTCCAGACCACATACAACATAGGACTTCAACTCAACAGTAGCTAAATAAGCTCATTCACTGCTCAAGGAGACACATCCATTGACAACGTGGCAATGTAGTATTGACAGAGCAGTGTCAAAATGCTTCTCTTGGTTTCTGTACTTACAATGGAGTTGTAGAAAGCAATGTATGGGCCATTGTCAGTCAGAAAATCACGTGAAGTTGTATTGATCTCATAAAACTATGAGAAGGTGCTAGAAGAGCTAAGGTGTGAAGCAGTGATCCAGGAGAGACTATCACATGTAAAACCTCGTGGTGATATTATCTAAGGAATTGGAGGAGAAGGCAAAACAACCAAACCAACCAAAGGGCGGCCAGATTCACAAAGTTTGAGAGGCTATTTGTAACTGGTATAATACACAATTTCGTTTGATCTTTATTTGAAGACCAATAAGAAGTCGCTGAAATATGGGGAAGAGAAGAAAAGAGAGTGGAGTGGCAGAAGCAGGCAACGAATCTGCAAGGATTTGATAGCAGCTGAACTAGAGCAAAGCCTCGGAGATGATGGGCCATTAAAGTGACAGTGGTGATTGAAAGTGTAAATTAGGATCAGATGATGGACCAGATATGGAGATGATGACTGAGCCCTCATGAAGGGACCAGCCACTGGGAAAGAGAACACTGAAAGAGACCCACGGAATCCAAGGAGATTAAGAATTACACTTTGGACACATTGAGTTTGACAAGGCCTTGAAATATCCAGAGGCACCCATTGGTTGAACTAAGAAAGCCATATACATGAAAATGATTAGTCACAAGACCCATTCTACAAATGTGTGTTTTGCTGACCACATCTAGACTTCTAACCTTATACCAGGCTGTACACTTCCTTTCTTGACTTCCTTCCAATGTCCTTTTTCCTGTCTCACCTTTTTCAGAAGGGATACCATCTCTTGTGACCAAGCAGAAGGGTAAGTTACAATTGCCGTCTCAAACATGTTCACAATTTCCTTGCTGGAAGTACTGGAGCGGATATGGTATGGTCTCTTAAGGGAGAAAAAGAGAAAGAGCCTTCATTTTTACAGGTCAAAGGTGGGAAAACGCGTGAAAGTGTTTACAAGGTAAACTTTGAAATAATAAAACCTCAACAAGAACCCCTTTGAGTTGATTGACAGGTAGCCATATTGGGTACATGGTCAAGTGCTGTCAGAATTTCTACGGATTTTTAAAGAAATGTCACGGACTTTAGTTTTTCATCAAAATATCCTAAGTTTTAAGAACTTGTTATTTTACAGATCGAAACAAAATATTTCAGTGGATTGAACCAGTCTCTGAGGTACTGATTTCAAAGTGTTTTGTTCATAGCTTTTAGGCATATTTATATAAAAAGTGAATAATGAAGAGAAAAACTTCAAATTATTACATAAGGTTGATTACAAACAGATCAGAATTTTCCCACAGCCTTATCTGAAATATGACAAAAACTAGGTGGTGTGGCATGTGTTGTAATCCCAGGACTTGGGAGATAGAGGCAGAAAGATCAGGAATTTAAGACAGGTTTCAGCTACATAGTGAGTTTAAACCAAGCCCATGCTACCTGAGAGAGATGCTTTTAAACAAATAAACAACAACAAAAATGTAAAAAATTAAACATAACGATAAGGTTAAGGACAGAAAATTGCTTAGAAATATCAGTTTCATTGTCTAATACTCTGCTTCCATGAAGTTTGTTGTGGGGAACTTTATGCTGGGATAAAAGGTTAAACAAACAAACAAAACCTTTTCCAGAACAATCATTGTCATCTATTGTTTTGGCTTGAATAAAAGAAATTAAAATCAAAATGAAGTTTGTATGAAAATCTCATTTGGAAACATGTTACTATAATCTACTCTAAAATTTAAAAAAAATTTTCTTAACTAAAAGACAAGCTGCTGATTATTTTACATCTGTCCACTAGAGGGCAGACGTTACGATCGTTAACTTCTATACTGGGTTTTTCTGTCTTCTAGGAAAACTGTAAGCAACTTAAAACCAGCGTCGATATTATGTGCACAGGGACAGGACTTCCACATTAGATTAATCACAGGACAGTTAATGTGTGTGCACACATTTATCACATGATTGGTCTTTCCCAGATGTTTAAGTAATCGCTGATGGACAAACCAATTTGGAGAAAGAAGAAATGTTTGTTTTTTCCAGTAGTCAATTAAAAGGTTTTACAATGTAATCACGGGTTAGAGTTGGAGGTCAGAGGCTTTGAATGCCAAACCAGGTCATTCATTTTCTGTCCCTCAGTTCCTTCATGTATAAGATGGAGCTACTTCACCAGTAAAATGAACCACTGGGAGAGGCTGCTGGGGAAAATGGGGGCAGGAATACAGGGAAAGTTCTCTGTGGCATGACTTGTGTCATGTGACCAGCTGACACACGAAGAACCACAAAAAAGAGGGGAATTAGAGATGAAAATTGTTTAGCAATAAAGAAGCAGAAACTGAAAACTTGCAAGTTTGGACTCTATTCACAGTATAAAACACTGCAAACAAAACAAAACAAAGCCAAGAAAAGAAAAAAAATTAAAAAAGGACAAAATACAAGCTCATGGGGATGTTGCTTATTTTGAAGAGAACATAAAGGATAAGGCTGAACAACTAATTGATAAGGAAATGCTGCTTGTGAGTCACGGGCTTCCAAAGGCAGAGGCGATTATGCCGGCAGAGACAATCTCTTGGAGGTAAAGGGGACAGACAATGGGCTAGATGGAAGGGAAGGTGACAGACAACTGAACATCTTCTGTTCCGTCTTTACGGTCAAAGAGAACTGGTTGGACTGCTGCTTTGAACTTGGGACCCCTTCTGGTTTTCTTTTTCGTCTCTTCTTGGGTGGGACTGTCTAATTTATGTCTCTGCCCTTCATCATAGCTTGAAAGCATGTGATTTGTCCAGCTTTCTAGGTTCCCAGGTGCATGGGAATTCTGCTCCGGGAGGAAACATGTCCTGGGTCCCATCCACAATGGATCTGGATGGTATTCAGATGAGTCTTGGGACTCAAGAGATGATGCCGGGGGGAGAAAATGTTATTGCTAGTGGAATTTATTGAGTGTACGCTCCATATGAGGAGGACGTGGGTTTCGGAGAACCCAGAGAGAAAGGCCATGGTCTGGGTGTGTTCCTTATACAGTCTTATGTTGGAGTGCTAACCCTCAACAAGATGGTATTTAAAGACAGGAACTGTGGCACAGTTTGAGACAGAATGTGTCCTAAAGGCAGAGACTGACATTTTAAGATTAAATGACCTTTCTCTCTCCCCTTTGCCTTCTTGTGCTCTCCACATCTTTACTCGCCCCCCCCCCCATCTCTCCACCCCTTCCATTCTCTGTGTTGTTAGGACACCAGAGCCCTGCGTTTCTGACTCTCTGACTTGGACTTCCAGCCTCTATGAGCTGTAAGAAAATAAATACTCTATGCTACCAGGTTCACAGTACACTATTTTGGTAGGCTGGGCTAACTACGATAAAACTTTGCGGGGTATCTGAATTCCGTATTAATTTGTAGTAATTGCGTAAAATATAATTTTTACTATTTTTCTCTGAACCTTTTTCTAGGGAAGAGTTTCTCGCTTGAGAAATATTTTCACTGAAAAGGCCACTACTCCAGCTTGCTAGGGAACTCATACCCAGCAGCCACGTCAGACATGGGACCGAAAAGACAGGGCGCAGGTTGTCTGGTGCCAACAACTCTCAGGTTGATGGAGAGGTGTGTTTGAATGAAAGCCCTGTCCAGTGACTAAAAATGATTTTCTTTAAACGCACACGTAGATTTACCCAAGAGAGTGAGGCCTATTGATTTCATTTTATCAGTTTTTGATATCCATATTATTAACTTAACTGTAGAATTAATATTAACTGACAGATTCAGCAGCACATAGAGAACACTGAATTCATCTGTGCAGAGGTCTCAAGAGGTATTGTTAACACCAGACAGCATAGGTGTTTTCTGATTTCAAATAAACTGCTTGGTTCTTAGCAAATAATGCATTCTTGCATTCTGAAACAGAACCTGAAGGGGCTGGGGAGGTAGCTTAGTGATTAAGAGCCTGATTGCTTGCAAAGGACCTGGGTTTAGATTCCAGCACCCACATCAAGGTGGCTCACAGGCACATGTAACTCCAATTTCGAAGCATCCAATGCCCTTTCCTGGCCTCTGTAGGCACTGCACACACGTGGGGTACATAACACACACTCGGGCACACATACATAGACATACAGAAGCAGATCTTGAAAACATTGTTTTTCTAGAATAATACGAAACGAGAACATGTGGTTCAACTGTACCCGGCCTCTTAGCAGCTCGTAAGCTGTCACCCCCAGGGACCACCAGTCAACAGCGAAGGAGTAGCCTGTTTCCTTCCTGGAGCCGAACATCTCAGGAGCTGCAAAACACGGAAAAGGTTAGTTTTGCTCCCTGAGATGCCAATCAATCTATTTCCCCAACACATTCCTCCCAAGAAGAATCAGCAAGCCTGGAAGGTGTAAACACTCCCACAGTTGTTTATTATTCAGTGGTGGATTGCTCGCAGCAGGCAGCACTTTCTAATTTCTTAGCTCGCCCAGCAGTCCCGTTCATCAGCTAACACAAGCAGACATGCGCAGACCTTAGTGGACAAACTCTTTTCTTCTTTAGAACCTTTACACTGTCTTCATCTGCAAAGTCTACATTAAAGGAGCTGAATTTATTTAGCAATCTCAAACAATGCTTAGAGTTGGAGGAAGACATGCATTGACTTGGGGACACCTGGCAGCATCAAGGGGGTGAATGCAGCTTTCTTCTATGCATGAGAACAGGGGGGAAAGGAGAGAGGGCACTCAATGAAGTATAACACTTTGCAATAACCATGGGAGGTTTCTACTTTATAACTCTAGTTCTCTGAATTGACTGTACTGGAAAGCAGAGTCAGCATCAATTGAACCTTAGAGGTGAGCCCTCAGGCCGTCTCTATGCACTTAGTTATACATTTCTAAGACTATACTTGATTCCTAATGTTTAGGTCAGGGGACATGAAGGACCGAGCAAGGACAGCTATGGGGCTGCTGCTCACTAAGTTACACACTGTCTAGTCAAGAACCTAGCACTCAGAGTCAGTAGATAGAAACTTATCAAACAGATGAGTGAACACGGAAGCCACCAGACTTGTGACCATTATCTCTGTGCCTGTGCTGGGTTCAAAGGCTGCCCCTACTATTTACGGTGTTCATGAGCAAATCAGTGGGCACAGCGTAATTCCTGCCCCAGCAAGATCAGAACACTAAAAATAATTCTTTTTATCAGTTTAGAAATTAAATGAGTTCATGCCTGTCCAAAGGTCAACACAGTGTCTGGCATTTGCAAAACAATCAAAACAAAGAATCAGAAGCAAATGACCATAACAGTCGAGGAGTTTACCTAGTTCAAAGCTACAAAGAGTTGATGCCACACCTCCTGCAGTAAGGTACTGACTGGGCAAAGGAAATCCTGAGGACATTGCCTGTTTATACAAACCTGTTTACCTGTGAGCTTGAATTCTAGCTAGATTTTTGTGGACAGCTTCCCATTCCAAGGGTAGCATATAGACATCCTGATGCTCAGGACTGGCTCTAAGGGCTCTATGCTGGAGAACTAAGTGGGTCTCATGCCCTGGTGAATTCATGTTTCACGGATCACAGTGTCCTTTCTTCAAGTTCAAAGTCCCAGTGGAACTGGGGAGACAATGGCCCTGACCCCTCAGTGTTCCTATTCCTGGATAGAATGAACTGTAGGTTTGTGTTCCTTCTTCAGGATCGTACCACAAATCATCTCTCAGGAGACAGGTGTCAAACACTGCACTTAAGAGGACATCCGGGCATTCAGAAGCATGGCAGAGACCATGTTGTTAGGAAACACCAAACAAAGTAAATATTACACTACCAAAGCCCTGGACTCTCTCATATCAAACCATCCTTGGAGGAGGCATGACTGTTCTTTTTTATATTCAAGTGTATGAGCACATGTCTGCCATTTGCTCTGCTTTCAAACATGAAGGCATCTGTATATGTGCTCCTTCACTAAACCAGCATTCATGTTGTGCTAAGCCCTGAGGTAGCGCGATGGACATTTAAGAAGAGAAACCATGACAACACACAAAAGTGCTGGGACATTTTAGGCCTTCAAGCAGGCAGGTGGCAATGGGAGATGCTGAGGGCCTTTTTCTGATTCCTTGCTCTGATTTCCTGACTCCCTTTGCTCCTGAGAGAAGCCCAACAGAACTGGGAAAGCATTGCTTTCCCTCCGAATAGACAAGAGGTCTTTTGTTTGGAACTTTTTTCCTTTTTAAAGAGTTTTTCAATATACACATTCAGAAAGCATCTGAAACAGAAAAGAAACAAAGGACTATTTAGAGGCCAGTGCCCCTGTAACCATCGTCCCCATCAAGAAGCACAGTCTTGCTCCCACCACTACAACTAACCTTCCCACTCTGCTTAGAACTCACCACCCTGAATTTTCATTGAATAATGTTGATTTTTATAATGGCACATGAATTTCTAAGCAACAGATTAATTTTGTCTATATGATATATATTTCCCTGGGGCTACGAATTAATGAAATGAGGGACTGCAAAACCATTTACTTAATTTGTTTCAAGCAATTACAATAAAGCCAACAAAGTAAAAGAGAGAGAGAAAGTGAAGGAACACATCCTACCAAGTCATTTGCATGACACCTTTTCAGCCCAAAAATAGTTGTTTGTGATTGATCCAAACTGCTAGGCAATTTAGTTTGTTGAACTTAGCACTACATGGATACATGGTGATTTACGTACCTGCCCTCTTGTGGATAGCTGTTGGAGCTATTTTACATTTGGGAGTATAGCAAACAATGTTGCCTGGACCACTCCTGTGCTGCTGTATTCCTGTATCACTGGTGGTGTTGTCAGGAGCAGATGGGCTGGAGATAGGGCTGTGCATTTCACATACCCATCAAAGGGCTGTGCTGCTCATACCGAGACCAGCAGCCAAAGCCCCCTTTGCTCAACACTCTTTTCCACACTTGGGGTTATTACTGACTTGTCGCACGTGCCATTTTATCTCATTGCAATTTCAAATGAATTTCCATTGAAATTCATTGTAGGCTTGCTACAATTCATATGCTTAATTGGGTATTTGATGATGGTCAGATTTAGAGTTTAAAGCCTAGGCATCAGGTTTTTGTCAGAAAGGGTCCCCCCCCAAATAGTTCTATAATATAATAAAAAAATTCAGATATGACCTCAAAAAGTGTGCAAATGATGCGCTTTGGAAAAAGAACAGAAAAACATCTTATATCCCGTATATTATAAAGCTATGGCAATTAATACTGAAAACCCCAGAGTACAGATATTAGTATCTGAAGTTATTTAGATGATGAGGAATGATTTTCAAATAAGCATTGGAGGGTTGTGATTTTACACAGAATTTCCAAATAATTAATAACCTAACAAAAATGGCATAAGACTTATTAGATATACGTCCAGTGAATGTAGTATAGAATTGGTAATAAGTAAAAATGAATAAAATAATAAAGTACTAAGTAGACAAATCTAAGATCTGGAATAAGAAGATCTAGCTAAGAATTGCATCCAGGACAGAAACCCTAAAGCAGGTCCACATGCAAACTTGAAAGACTGAACACATGCTTCACATGAGCCAGGCCCTGGGCGTGAATCCCAGCCCTCCACACAAACGTGAGTAGTTAGAGCTTATAAATGAGGAGCTCATTGTGTATGCGTGCAATCCCAGCATTCAGGAGACAAACAAGGAGACTCCTGCTTGTTTAAAGTCTGAGCTACATTGAAAGTTCTGGACCAGCCAGAGCAACACGGCAAGACTCGGCCCCCAAACCTGAATCTCACAACCAACAAATTAAGGAGACAAAGAACTCGTGCACACCACAAATACCGCACACTAGGAGCTAGAAATCATGTCCCCGATACATACAGGCAGGTATTATTTAAGTAATCACTAAGAAGCACAAAGTAGGGAAGAAAAACGGGATCAATAAGAAAATAAGCAGAGTCTATGGACAGGCAATATATATAGTCACAGAGATGGGTTCTGACGTGACAGTGAGGTCTGCTTCTCCTGGTATTTGGGAGGTTGGGGTCTTGATAACTGGGCACGGGTGAGGATGCAGGGAAGTATGTGTGTTACGCTCTTCCAGCATGAGTAGAAACCAGCCTTCAGGGAGAGACATTGGCATGTGTGCTTTGTAAGCAGGAATTCTTTTTTGCAGTGGTAATTTTAGCTAATAGGTAAAACTTGTATGTTTATTGAGTACAGTATATTTAAATATATAGTGTGAATGAATCAATTGAAGCAACTATGAATTACAACACACATTTGCCTTTGTGTGTGTGTGTGTGTGTGTGTGTGTGTGTGTACAGGCATGGGCACATTCCATTCCATGATGTGAATGTCATGGTCAGAGGACAGCTTGTAGAAGTCACTTCTTTCTTTCAACTCTGTGGGTTCCAAGGATCTGACTCAGGTCATCAGCTTGGCAGTGGGCCACTTTCCCTGATGAGCCATCTTGATGGCCCTTACTCTTGTTTAGATTGATAAAAACCCAAGTTACGCTCGATGATACTCAAGGGTAGAAGACATTATTTTATGACAATATTCATGACAAGAAATAATCAAGTTGATGGAAATGATTCTACTACCAAGAACCAAGATATCTATGACAAAAGGACAGTTCACAGTGAGAAGCAACCAAGTATTCAACAGCAGAGGAAACTACACACACCACAGCGGGGCCCTCTCGTCTGCAGCACATGGTGCAGAACGTGGGCTTTATGTCCTGACACAGGAAAATGAGCAGAGTTCGTTGTCGGACAAGGCTCAGGCTAAGTGGGCAGGGGGAAGAGGGTACCGTTTCCAGGAGAGGTGTGTGGACTGCTTGGACCCATGGCTATCAGACAGCTTAGAGCAGTGCTTCTCGACTTTCCCAATGCTGTAACCCTGTGGTGATATTTTGTTTGTGCTCTAACATGCTAAACTTGCCTGAGGATCAGAGTGTGGAGCTGGCCACTAGTCAGCCATAGAGGCCAGACAGGAGGGGCACACATCTTTAATCCCAGCACTGGGGAGGCAGAGGCAGAGGGATCTCTACAAGGTCAAGGCCACTGTGGGCTACACTAGATTGATTTAGTCTCAAAGAGAAAGAAGGCCAGGGATGGTGGTGGCTCACACCTTTAATCCCAGTACTTGGGAGTCACAAGCCTTTAATCCTAATACTAGGGAGGTAAAGACAGGAAGGGATATGGCTGGGTGGAGAGAGGAATATATGGCGGGAGCTTAAGGCATTCAGTCTGGGGATTTCTGGAGACAGGATCTTGCCCCCTCTGTTTCTCTGATCTTTCAGCATTTACCCTGATATCTAACTCTGGGTTTTTATTATTAAGACCAATTAGAATTCACATTATACAACCCTCTAATACAATTTCCCATGTTGTGGTGACCCCCCCCACACACACACATAAGATTATTCTAATTGCTACTTCCTGTCATTTTGCTACTGTTGTGAATCATAATGTAAATATCTGATATGCAGAATGTCTGATAAATGACTCCCATCAAAGGGTCATTAGATCCCTCTCCCTAAAGAGGTTGTAACCCACAGGCTGAGAACTGTTCACTAAGACCATGCTTTTAATCCTTCCTTGGACCTGTGTCCTGACTGTTGAGATTGCTCACCTCTAAAGTGGAAGCAGCCACAGTTATTGCCTTACTGAATTGTTTTTAGAGCGAGCGATCTAAAGCATGTTCTCAGAATGTACCCAGCGTGCTAGTGAATGTCAGTCATTACATCGTTATCAGCGCCATCTCCCCAAATGTTCCAGGCTCGATGCTTCTAGATTTGGATTTCATTTCATGCTCTGCCAATCACTTGTTCGGGGATATGATCATGCTATTTTCTCTCTGGGTTGGACTTCCTAATGTATGAATAAAAATCACAGTAAGATCTGTCTCATGGAGCTGTTTTAATGATATAATGAATATTAAAGACTTAACAAAACACCTGGGACATTATGGATGCTCACTACATGACAGCAATTGTTCATCAAAGAAATTTGGTCTAATCCACCTTCTAAAAGTGAAAAGGTAAATGTGTTTGTACACAGAAAAACATTCAAAAGGAATCTATAAACATCAATTGGTGCAGGAATTATTTTCTTCTTCGCTTGTCAGCATTCTGCACTTTTTTCTTAGTGGACTTTCGTGCTCTCTCTCACACACACACACACACACACGCACGGGCACGCACATTCACGTATGTACACACACACACACACACCCCTCCTCACATTCACGTACACACACACACACCTCCTCAGTATAAAGGAGAAAGCTTTAACTGGTGACCTTCTAAGTGATCTGGATTATACTCAGTTCTAAGATGGGGATGAAGGAGGAGCTAGAGCAGTGAGCTGGAACAGGAGGGCAGAAGGTAAGAGCTTATGAAGGACACGCCCCTCATCTTGTTGTTTCATCCTGGACTCTGTCTTCTCAGGTCTTTCTTCTTCTTTCTTTCCATCATTCCTTCTTTCCTTCCTTTCTTCCTACCTTCCTTTCTCTCTAGTTAATTGCTAGCATTCTACACCAGCACTATAAAGTAAGTGCTAGTAAATTACCAGTAGATAGAGTAAAAGAGAAGGCAGGCTTCTAGTCAGAATCCTTCATGAAAAGAGATATTTTTAAAAAAGACAAAAGTAGATGAAGATAAAGCCATAGGCTATGTCGTTCACACATTCTTTTGGAATTCAGTGGGAAACATTCCCAACATGATGGACAAACAGAACTAGTTCAGCTCCTGAAGGGCCAGGAGTGGAAATGACCCAGCACACACTTCACCCCTTGTGCCTCTCAATATCTGAAGCCAGACAAAGCTTGACATAAGTCTAAGATTTTCATCCCAAGATGACTAATTGTTACCATGAAGATCACATCAAATTGCTGAGTGTCTTTGCTTAACCACGATAAGTATAGCCAGCATCATAGGGCACTTTGGGAAACATGAATGACTAAATGGATGTAAAGTATCGGACACATTGTCTGGTCCACAGGAAGAGTTGGATAAATAAACACTAGCAATTGCCCGCTGGAAACATGAAAGCTGACAGTGCCTGGCCTCGTGTCTGGACTCCAATTTCCTAGTTCTATTCCATGAAGATGCCAGAAATGACAACTGTGAAAAAAATTAAATTATACAGATATTATACTTAAAAGGACTGGGGAGAGGAAAGTTGTGTTCCCAGTACTCTGTCACCATGGAAACCATCCCTAGAAACCCCAGATGCACACTTTATGATTTGGCGCCAAGAAAATAGCCTATAATATGGAAACCCAGGAAACCCAGAAAATAAACTGGACAGACCAGCAGGCTTGGATAGTCCCTTTTATAACTAGAGTGCCGTGGGTTTTAGGCAGAAAAATGGGCTGAATTGTGTGTCCATTATATTAGAAGCGACAAAAGAAATTTATTCCCCCACTGGCCATTGAAAGCCATGAAATCTGCAGTTGTTCAAATGTTACATAAAATAAGGCTTCTTTTTTCTTTAGAGAGAAGATCTTGTGATGGCCTTTCATGTAAGAGGGACCCCCGCCCCCTAATCATGTGGAGGAAAGAGAATGAAAAACTGGCAAGAAAAAATTGAAAGTGGTATTGTTCATTTCCTTGATTTTTTTTTCCAAGTTCAGACCTTTTCCTATGACATTCTCTGGCCACATCTAGCTGGTGACATTCACTCTGCCCCTTTCTGAATCCCTTCAGCATCAACAGCTTTAATATCCTAACTAATTAAGAGAGCTGGCCTAGAAGAGAGTGGGTTTCCTTCTCCTGTGTCTGCCAGTAACCCTGCATTGTTTAACGCCATGCTTTAACAAGTTGGTACCCCACCCCCACCCCATGGATAGCTTATCAATCATCAAGACCTAATCAAGTTTAATCCCTTTGCTTATTATAAGGCTTCAAACGTCTTAAAATCCAGTGTGCTGAATTCTGACAGCAGTCTCTCAGAGCTCAGTCACCCACCTCATCAGGCTGGATTTCCCCACCTCAGAGTAGGGATAGAGGACTGGGCTGGCTCTAACAACATCTTCATCTCTTGTTTCCTAGCAAGCACTGCTTGTGTTTAAACATGTAAAAGGGACCATGACATCCTACTGCAGCAATGATGAGTCCGTGACAGGGCTGGCAGAGCTTGTCAATTTAGCTTGCACAGCAGGGACCCAATGACTTTCTAAGCCTAATGATGACAGAGGATCTACCCTGGAGCAGTTAGCCTGTACTGCAACTGTTGGCATCTCCAGTGAGCCATGCAGACGTGAGTCTCCTTTGTAAGCTGTAACCCAGCATTGTTACCCCTGTGAAGCTGGACCACGAGTTTCACCTATCCCCTCCCCACCAAAAACAGTCAAGTTCTGTCTTCTACTGCTAATACTTGTCTCTACAGTCAACAAACCCTCATGAACAACTAGGATCAGTGAACTCAGGAAACAGCAAGTTCAGCAGACAGATACCTAACCCCAATCTGATTGCTAAGATCCTGTTATTATAATCAAATCAAGAATTAACAGATGATGAGTGATGTGAAATTCCCCTCTGTATACTGTGATATGTTTTATTATTATTTGGCCTATGGTAGGACCAAATATAGCCAGGCTAGAAGAGAAATAGAAAGAGAGGAGGTGAAGTCAAAAGGAGACACCATGTAGCTGCTGAAGGAACACCAGAACCTTGCCAGTAAACCACAACCTCATGGCAATACACCTATGAATAGAAATGGATTAATATAAGTTGTAAGAGCTAGCTAGTAATATGCCTGAGCCATTGGCCAAACAGTGTTGTAATTAATATGTTTTTTATGTGTTTATTTGGGTTTGGGCGGCCTGGAAATGAACCTGCAGTCTCCTTTTACAGATGAGAATCAACTCAAGTCTTTAGGGGTGATATGGAAAAGGCATGTATTTCACTACTGTGAGAATAACATGTCTGCTGATAAACAGAAAATCTCTAGATTTTTCCAGAGCAGATAGGGGTGCAGCAAGTTCTATGAAAACAGTATTTCTCTGCAGAGGAAAGCACTGACAATTGAAGATGGAATTTGGAGCTGATTTGTTGCTACAATTAAATGTAGATTTTATGGGCTATTTGACTCCTAGCCCTGCACTGTTAAATTCTTAATTGTCAAGACAAAAATCAGTTCCATATATCACTGTAAATGGAGGCATGCACATAATGGAACAGTTCTTAGGCATAAATTATTTTAAGAAAAACTTAACTCATGAGATTGCTGTGAAAACAAAATTGAAGCTAATCCTAGAACTGTGGAAGTACCTTGAAAACTTTAGCACATTGTGCATGCATACAATATTATTTATACAGTGCTAAAATTACTCTTGCTATGTGTTATGATTTGACTTATTTCTGGTTCCTTTGTGTGATTTGTTTTGTATCTCTCCTACTGGCATGAGGTACGTATTGTACGTATTGCTTTTAAATGGGTCACTATCATGTTAAAATCCTTTCACAGACATAGGTAATTAGCCACTGACTAAATTCATACTTTTGTTCGGAAGTCGATAGACAACTGATTAGGTCATAAAATAGAATTTGCAGAAGGTGATCGATGTCCCTATTGAATCAAAATCCAACCATGTAACTTGCTAATGCAGATGGCTCTGCCTTACTTCAGACCCATACATCGGTAGTCCCCTAGGTAAAGCCAACCAGAAAGGAATTTGTCTGCTCCAAGTGCAAGTCCTTAAGAATATGACCTTCAGCAAATGGTATCTAGAAGAATTGGAAACACCAGATATGTTCTTACAAATGAAAACCACTTGTGAAGCTGCTCATACCCACCCATGTAAGGCTTGGTGCCAGCTACAGTGGTAATCCGAGTCTCCTTGGGCAGCAGAGCAGCAATGTTGAAGTCTGTGATGTGCACATGCCCTGTGGGGAGAGGAAGACCAGGAGAATGTTAAACCCCTTCAACCTAGACAAATAGTCCCTCATCTAATAAGTGGGAAGATCTGGATGCTTAGCAATGAGTGCAGGCTATAAAAGTCCCCTTATTCTATCCTCAAGACCAATGAGGCTTTAAACCACTGCAGCAGCCGAAATATGATACACAGCCATTAGTATCTGACTATAAACGTGTAGTTCAACCTCAGACTATTTGAGCTTTGGTAGGTGAGTTCATGCTCCAGAAACTCTTCTGGGCATTATTGTCTGCTGGCAGCAGTCTAGATTGCTTATCCTGTATATACCATATAGGCGACAGCCAGGGCCTCTGAAAGCATCACAATCCCCATAATCTCTTATGGGGAAATTACTATTTCCTGGCACAGATATGGATACACATTTTGTTGTTGCTGTTCTCCTTGTTTTTCTAAGACCCCATTTGTATGGGGGAGGCAGACAGGGCAGGTTGCCTCCAGTGAACTCTAACAAAGTAAATTCTATCAAAGGACAACAGGCAAAATTCAGAATATTATTTAAAGAAATTGGGGGGCCAGGAGACATAGTCTGTGTCCAGATCTCTGTCCCTAACAGACCTGTTCTTTTCCTACATTGAGCCTAAATTTCTCCACTTAAAAATATAGTGGTAGATTATATGATGCATTGGAACCCTTTGATTTGTGAAACACAGCAATAAACAGGTCTCTTTGGGCTGTAACACACAGCAATAAAATGTGTGTGGAGCACTTGAGTTTGGTAGGAAATATACCCTACATAATGTTCCAGGGTTCTGGCATTTACAGCTAGAAGGAAGAAATGGGCAGGGCAGTAAACTTAAGCCAAACTTGTATGTTATCTGTTGGCACAACAGTTATCTGCCTTCCTAGGAGCTGGAAGTGTTGGCCTTCCCATTTACATGTGCCTGCTGCTTTGATGGAGATGGGATTACAGAGGGAGTACCAATTTATTCTCCTTCCAGGATCCTCAGTTCAAACTCCCCACATCAAACTCCACAGTCTGCTTCTGGCCACGTCTAGCCCATCACCAAGGAAGACCCTCACTCTCTCTATCAACATGGTTCTGTTTTGTGCAGAAAGCACTTGCTTTTTGTTTGCATGGCATTTTCATAAGGTCGAAGCAGCAGCATTCATCCAAATGGAAGTGAGTTTTCTTTACCAAATCACATCAATGAATGAGGTCAATAGCTCTCTACCATAGTTCTGGGTCTCGGTTTCTTTTTTCTTCTATTTAATCCATAGTTCGTGCTCCAAATATTGGACAACTTTGGAAATTGATACAAATTAAGTGGGCCTGAAATCTCCCATTACAAGCCTGTTCTCTAGAACAGGGATGCGTGACTTTAAGTCTAGTCCCCACCACTAACCAGATGTCACCTGGAAAAAGTCACCTGGGCTCTCTAACTGCTGTCTTCTTACTAGGTAAGGTTAAGGGAAAATGAAAGACAGCAGGGACTATGGGAGACCCAGCCCCGCACCCGTCAGGGCACCAGAATTATTGTCAATCATTAGCAGAAGTTAAGGCACAGACTGGCAAAGCACATGGGCCTGTGTCTCACTTCCCTCCAACTACAGCTAGACTGCCAGGAAAGTCTGACGTCTGCATTGAAAACGAGAAACTCCAGAAAATGGTCATGAGTGGTCAGGCATGAAACCCTTCCCTAAAACTTGAGGTTTTCTATAATCAGTACAAGGTTGCCTACACGTATGTTGAAGTAGAGTGTAAAGAATGCTTTGAATACACCCAATTCCTGAAGCCTGTTCTCTGGGCCAGAAGCATGAGTGTCACTCAAGAACTTGTAGGAATTGCAGAACTCTGAGCCTTTCTATACTTTCTGGATCAGAAACACTAAGGTCCATGTCTTAGCATTTAAACAAACTCTTCAGGTAACACTGAAGTCACAGAGAGTTTGATATTATTGTTTTGAAAGAAGACCTGGCTCAGTGGAATACTGAGACTGTTTCACAAGACTACAAAGTAAGAATGGGGGATACTGGCCAAAGAAGGCAAACCCAGGCAGCACTGACTGTCTCTCTGCTCAGTTTGACTGAATGAATGACGAATATCTATTAACATCTGTGCATGATTCCTTCACTTTTTACAATGCTGTCTCAGCCTGTCCCAGGGAAGTGCCCCCTGTTGTATAGGTGACTGGTTTTAGCTAAGTTCATAGGATCCAGAAATGGCGGAATTGAGGTTAAGATCTAGAGACTGGTTTAGGATCTAGACATTGCTCTTCTGACACTTTGGTTCAGATTCCAAATCTCCCACTATGCTATGTGTTCTGTCACAAAACCAAAGGACTAAGCAACTTGAAACACGTAGTTTTTTGATTCACTCAGACATCTTCCTCTGCCAGGATGCAGAGGAAATATTTTGAGGACTCATGGGAGCTCCAGCGGCGTTATAACAACTCCCAGCACCATAGGCAATGCTATGCCTCAGTTCCCGCGGGTGCTTCCATGCTGAGTTTACCCTGTCAGGCTCTCTCCTGTGATGTGGGAGTGACTTCCAAGGCTGAGTTGGGGGTGGGGATTCTCTGTGATGCAGATGGGAGAAATCAGGACTTTTCTTAAGAACGGGGCAATTTTATACTTTCTTCCATAACTCAGGGCTCCAAGCAACTCCTGGAATAACATTCTCAGCCTTGGGACTTTAGAGCTACTAGATGCATTGTCTTTGCTCTGACCCTGACTTGGGCATTGTAAAATGCTGAGTGTAAAATTCTCCTGTACAAGACTAAGGGCTTCCTGATCTAGATTCCTGGGGAAGTTTGCACCTTGGATAGCTAATAACCTCAACTCATCCTACAGGGCTGTTGAGTTCAGCTTCCACTGTCGTCATTGTCTATACTCTTCCTCACTGTGACTGCGCTCAGGCTGGGGCCCCTTTCATCAGCACCTCTCTCTAGGGTACCATATCCCATCAGCTGGCAATAGCCACAACTGCTAAAATTTTGCAAGTGTTTACAGTATGTGCAAAAGATACCCGTTTCCTGTAATATCAACTATTGCCAGCTGTAGATAAGACATCATTACCTGGGGCCTCAGGTATTGTCTTACATTTTCAATAGGACGCTTCATTGATTGTTTTTCAGCATGTGTTGGGGCTCTTCATGGAGGAAGATGATAAGATAGAAATCTCTGTTCTTTCCCATTCTCAAGAATGAACTTTTACCTCCCTCTCTCGTGACTACAGATATTAAAAGCTAAACTACAAATAATGTTATAATTGCCAAAGTCTTTGAGATGCCAGGCAGGCATTATTGTTCCTCTGGATGCAACATTTGTTTTCTGACTAACTTAAGAAAACCACAAATTTTTTAGACCCTATGAAAGTGATAAAATTGGATTGGCCACTTCAACTGGCAGGATGTGAAAATACATTTCAGGACGGTTTGCTATGATTCATCTAAGACCTGATGCCATATTGGCTCTGAATTAGTATAAGTGAGATATCTGGGGAGAGCAGAAACTTGAGTGCTCAAAATGAAAGCCATTTTTTTACATCAAATGCTGAGTCATGAGAGATCTTTATTCAAATTGTGGAAAGAATCTCCATCTTATATGATCTCACATGAACACTGATACACGCTGGGGAATATGAACAATATGAATCCTTAGAACAAAACAAAGCTTCATTCTGTTACTGCGCACAGGTGAATGAAGACAGAAGTCATAGGATGGATACAATACTCATTTGGGAGGCTGGGCAGAGCAGGAGGCATGTAAAAGAAATCACACAGCTGCCCTTCACAGTTGCTAACGTCTCCATGCCAGGGGTGAAATACTGAAAATGAGGTGGCAGAGACCAGTGAGCCTTCAGCTCCCAGAGGAACATGGGAAAGCAGAGCAGCTGCTTCTCCAAAGGGCAAGCATTGGTTTATGGTTCGGCTGGTTCTCATAAGAAGAACATTAGAAGCTTGGGGAGACAGGCGAGGGAATGTAGTCACTTAAAAGCAACTAATTTTAGTTCCAGAATAGTGTTTAAGTCCTAGATTTTTTTTTGTAATCTAACTGAAAATGACATCAAACAATTATCTTCTCTAGAAAGGGAGCCCTGGGATATGATTTCCAGAATAGATCCCAGACTTTTCACTTTGTCTGCTTCTATTTCACTCATGAAGTCTTCCTTTATTAATAGCAACAATTCTGAAGGTGAGTTCGGAATGGGAATACAATATGGTGACTGTGGCTGTTGTTTTTGTTCCTTGTTTAAATCAATGTCTGGAGAGTGAAAGGGGCATGAGAGGTTTCCCATCACCTGAGACACTGTACCTGTCCCTCAGGAAGGCTGGGAAGACTGCTCCCACATCCCAAGCCACAAAGCTTTAAACAGAATGAAAATGCCAAAAACAGTGACCTCAGACAGCTGTGTAAATCAAAGAAGGCAGGATAGACCATTACAAGCAGAGTTACTTGAAGATTAAGCTTGAATGACCTTGTTTAAGCTCAGGATTCAACAAGAAAAAGGATCTGTAGTACCATCCCATCTGGAAAAACACAGTAATTCTCAGGGAAGACTAGTAATCGCCTGACTTTCATAGACTCTACCGATAGATAGATCTATATACATACTGCTCTACACAAAGCCACACAGAACATCAACATAGTCTTCATCCAGCTGTGAAAGCCTCTACAGAATCATGGAAGTCACACTCCCCTTTGGTTTTAAGCAGTTTCTGTTTGCTTGTTTTTATGGTCGACATTGTACCATATGTTGTCACTGTTGTGTCAATATTTATCATGATCCCAAGATGTAAGTGTCCTTGTTGTCTGAGAAACAAAGGCACAGAAACATTTGGGCAACTTGACCAAATTCTGAGAGCTAGTGAGTAGTGAACTGGGTTTTAAAGCAACCTAGCTCTGTCACTCGTACTATAAACAACACTAAAATTAGTCCTTCACAAGAGTAGGTTCTCTATGGGGCTACACTTCAAAATTAATTGATTTACTCATTTCCTTCCTAATCAATAATCATCACATTTCCAAGAAAAATTAATGAGAAAAGGAGGAAGACAATGAAGAGGAAGTAAAATGAAGAACGATGGGTGCGTGTGTTCTAAAAGCATGATCAAGCATCTTCTAAGAACCGAGATTGAAACCGGAGTGAAAAATGTTCCCATTGGTAAGGTTGACATGTCTCCTCGGAGTCGTACAAATGAGGAGGTGACAGGTATTCTTGTCTAAGGGGAGCTGTCTGTCATAAAACGTAAGGTGCAGACCAAAACCTTATTCTGCTTAACCAACTATATTTTCCAGAAAGCTTGGTGGTACAGAGTTGCTTTTTTTCTAAATAACAAAAGCGTGGCTTGTGCAGACTGCCCTTCTCTCTAGGGCTGAAGATTCAGAGTGTGTTTACAGCAGGCGCGGAAGGCCCAGGCCTCTCATACAAGACTGGGAGAGCTGGTGTTTTCATGAAGGTCACCTTCATGCTGTCTCAGCATTTGCTCACATCTCTGAGATTCAGAAATATGTTCCAAAATGTCAAAAGCTGAAACGGTAAAGAAATAAGACATTGGAAGGAAGTGGGGGGAAAAATCCCTTCAGACAGCCCATAAATAAATAATAACTGCGCTTTGAGATTAGGGGCTATGCTTAAAGGTGTTTCTTAGCTCTCAGGGCCTAGGTGGGGCTGGGGAAATCAAGTTTAAATTCAAGTAGGTAAATAAATAATAAGGAATGGATGGGACTTGAAGTTTCAGTTCTAATTGCCAATCCTGCTTATCAAAGTTGAATAACTAAGGACCTCCACAGATTCAGGTTCACTTTGTAGAAGATTTCCAATATGAAACCAGGGTGAAACTGCCACTGTGAAATCAAACAAGGGCAGTGGAGTGACCTGGGACTCTATAAGGCTTGAGTCACACACTTTCCTGTTAACACACCCGGTAATACAGGACGCCTAACCTGAATCTATCTGCATGTACCTCCTGCTTTAAACAATGTGAGCTGCTCTTATAGCTCCTGTATGATGGTCAATACCCATCTCCATTTGAACATGTTTTAAGATATAGTAAGGAATGAAGGAGAAAGAGAAATAAGCCATCGTACTGAATGGTTTTGTGAGCCCACTTGATGCAAGCTAGAGTCATCTGGGAGGAAGGAGCCTCAGTTGAGGAAATACTGCCATGAGACCCAGCTGTAAGGCATTTTCTCAGTTAGTGATCAGTGGGGGAGGAAGGTCTAGTTCATTGTAAGTGGTGACATTTCTGGGCTGGTAGTCCTAGGTTCTGCCTCCAGGTCCCTACCCTGTTTGAGTTACTGTCCTGACTTCCTTCAGTGGTGAACAGCAATGTGGAAGTGTGAGTTGAATAAACTCTTTCTTCCCTAAGTTGCTTTTGGTCAGGGTGTTTTCTATTTCAAACTGGTTTTGGACTCGTGTGCATTAAGTTAACTGTGTCCTCTGAGTGAGCTTTGAGGTAAAATCTTCTATTTACTATCTTATACTTGTGCAAATTTGGGCATGCATATGATTAAAATCAGGTGCATTTTGGGAAAATACATAGTATACAGGAGCTTTTATCACTTGGTCCTATCAATCAAAACAGAAAGACTCTCTTCCTAGCAACAACCATTTTTTCTTGGACTGCATAAAGAGGAAGCCTCTCCCAGCACTCAGGTCAGAGACAGGCGGATCTCTGTGAGTTCAAGGCCAGCCTGGTCTACAAGAGCTAGTGTGCAATGACAGGCTCCACAGCTACAGAAAAACCCTGTCTCAAAAAACCAAAACAAACAAGCAAAAACAAACAAGCCTCAAACCATAACTGGGGCTCTTGGACACTCTAGCTGCTGCAGGCCACTGCTTATCTGCAGTGTATCCTCTGATGTCTTTAACTGAAACTGCTTTGCCATTTGTGTGTGCACTTTTTCAATTATCTTAATGAGATGCCAAGGACCTGGGAACGCTTATCACTGACAGTGCCCACCTGCAGCACTCTCCCATGTACACCAGGCAAGCTGTGTGCCCTACAGTACTCCCTGATGTAGTATCCGTGATTTCAGAAAGTCTTTTAAACTGTTGAGAAGGGGGCTGAGGAGCTGTCTCGGTGGCTAAGAACACTGGCTGCTCTTCCAGAGGAGCCAGGTTAGATTAGCAGCACTCACGTGGTGGTTCACGGCAATCAGCTAGAGTTCTGGGGGGTCCTATGCCTTCTTCTGGCTTCTGTTGTCAGTGCACACACATGGTGCACAGACATACATGCAGGAAAAACACTTATACACATAAAGTAAAAATTTTAAAACATGTTCAGAAAAAACACGCTTATTTCATTCTGTTGGCAAAATATTGTATTTAGCCAGCATGCATAGACTTTAGATCTCCACTGTCACCATCAGGACCACCGCCATCTTCCATTACCAGTTTTATATCTGGGCCCAATAATACCTTTTTTAACTACTTTAGTTTTCTTTAAGATCATTTATTTTTCTTTACTGAAAAAATTGAGCACAAGACTTGCTATCTCTTATGTTCAGATGGAATTTGCTCTCACGAGATGCAAACTGTGAAAGGAGACACTAACAAAATCATCTCAGTTACTTGGTGGGTACTGTTACCTGGCAAGTGCTCAACATTCAGATTAGCTCTGTCTTACACCAAAGGATATTAAGAAAAGCTAGTACCAGAACAACCAGAGAGTTTTCTCGAAGAGATATAGTACTGGAAGAAAACGAAGTAAAGAATGACTTTCTCATTCTATTATATCTCAATGTTATTTAAGAATCTATTATTGGATTTTTACATACCTATAAATTTCCCTATCTTGTCTCTCCTACACACAGATGAAATTGATATATTATACATGTGTATATATATATATATACATATATATATACACACACACACACACAAATGTCCAATGAATCAAGCTAAGGTGATCAATGTGTTGTGGATACCTGTCATATAAGATGATTACAAGCAAATCATTTACTTACCATGTTCATCCAGTAAAATATTGTCAGGTTTCATATCCCTAGGGGAGGAAAGAAGGAAAAGATAAAGTTGTTCATAATAAAACAGAGTCCTATGGTGAAAGCAAAAATGCTCAATAGATCCTACTTGAGGTTAAAGCACCGTACTAGCATTTCATCCCATTATCACAGAATCTGAGACAGTTAACATTACCTGTGTTGATTAGGAACCTGGGCTTGTCTCATTCACCAAGAGTCTTAATTGCTATAGCATGAAAATATTAGTCAACAGGAATCTATGGGACATTAGCCAGTATCTTCCTGTGAAACCTCAGTTACACACGGCTTTAATGCCCTTAATGGCTTAATTACTGTGCTCAGAGTAGTCAAGGAGACAAATCATCTATGAGTTAGTGTATAGCATAATAATTATAAATACTATACATTACATCGTGTAGATATTTGCTAAGTTGGTCAATTTCTGACACGCTCAACCCAAAGCTGAAAAGGTAATTGCATGAGAAGGTAATGGCAATTGCTTGACAGCAACATTCATTTTATTATGTATATATTTGTCATTGCACCATATTGTATACCTTTAAAGTATACCTTTGTTATTAGACATGAAAACAAAATCGAAAAGATGGTCAGGGGAAGAAAAGGCCCACTGTCTGCCACGGAAAGGAGATCTGTGAGGGCACATGAGAAGACTGAGGGCCACGGTGATTTCAATGTCCTCAGGAAATGATTACCCTGGACAGTTCTCCTCAGTCAGACACTGGCACTATAGTTAACAACAACCCCAAACTCTCTATGTTCAGATTTTAACTACCTTTCCCTAATGCACCACTAAAACGCTTCTTCCTCGAGTCACAAAAGCCATTAGGAAAGAAATTCTAAAATAGGTTTGGGAACACATTATCAGGATGGTCAAGTAGCTTTTATGTTTTCAGAATAAAAAAAAAATGACCTTAGCTTCTGACAGACAAAGACTGGACATTATCTTTCCTTAACAAATTAATAAGCTTTACAAAAAATATCACTCATAAACAGAAGCGAGTACATGCTACATCCAGCATTCAGGTGGCATGAACTTGTGAATCCTGCCTTAGGCTGGTAAGTTCATTTTGGAGCCACAGAGGGATCACCTTTCTCTGGGGCAGGATTCTTTCTATGCCAGAGGGCACAACTGTCGAAAAAGGTAATGTAACAGGACTTCAAATTGCAGGATTCTGTGGAGAAGCACTCTTGTAATATTACAGACCTGTCTCCAAACCCTTTGTTTAAAGAATTAATAAGCCCAAACTCACACATGCTGTAGAAGCGATTGCATTATCTGCTTCTGTGTTCCAGCCACGTGCACCCGTAGGATCCTTTAACATAGTCCTTGCAAACCCTTGCCTGCTCACTTGTTGCTCCTTGGCCTGAATCAGACCCTCTCACCACCACTCGGAGACACAGCGGATGCAACCTGAACTTCAGAGCCTTCACTTCCTGCAGAAAACCTTCCATGACTTTCCAGTGCTGGACCAAATGCTTTGATGTGGTTTTGACGCCCCTGTAATATGTGGTACACTTATATGCAACTCTTCTTCATGCTTAGACTCCTGACCTGCTTGTTGCCGGGATGATTTTGTGGACAGCACATAGAGCCAGAGTCCATGGTGGTCACTAAAGGAGACACAGAGAAAATCTAGCACACGAGAAGATGGCTCCAACAGTGGTGTGGGAGGTCCTTCTGTGTGTTGCTTTTATTGATTAATAAATAAAGAACTTCTTTGAGCATATGGCAGGGAAAAACAGAACGAGGTGGGGAAAGCTAGGCTGTAAGCTGGGAGAAAGAAGGGCAGAGTTAGGGAGAAGCCATGGATCCGCCACATGAGACAGACGATGGGACATTACCCAGTGCCCTCCCTTCAACACAACAGTACAGTCCAAGTGCTATTATACAACACCGAAACTCGCTGTACCAGGAAGCTGTAGGTAAAGCAGACATAGGGCTCTTTCTGTCATTTTCAAATTGTATCTAGTTGACATCACTGCTTTCCAGGAAAGCAAAAGGTTCAGGCAGGAAAAAGTTGAGTATGTCAAGGCCAATATCAATATCTCTTCGCCTGTATTTATGGGGCCTCATGACAGAGATGAATCAGCACAGATTTCACATTTTGTGAATTTACTATGAGATACTTGAGTATCTTGGTTGATTTTTTTTTTTACTTTCTCATCTTTTTTCTCCACTAGGTTTCCCAGAATCTATCTTGAAATTCAGAGAGTAATACAGAGAAATCAGAGAGATGAATAGTTGTTTGATTATGCTTTCTTCCTTCAATCTTCTATTTCCCCTCGCAGTATTTATCCACTTAGGTAAGTCAGATAATGAGGAGATAAATGAGACCTTGTTCCCTCAGGGGTGGGGAGGATGAGAAAGATACACAGGCAACCAAACCAGAAAAGTATGAAATGGTAGAGGTGCTTGCCACAAAATCAACGAAAGAATATGAGGAAATCTAATAAAACTGTGAAGTTTTAAGCATTGTAATAAGTTACATAAGCTTATAATCTAACTACACAGGGTTTTTTTCACACTATAATGAGGTAACTTCTAAGTCAGTACAAGGAAAATTGCAGTATGATAAAAATCATTTATTCGCGTACCAGAAGAAAGAAACTGAAAAGAAACTTGGAGAATTATATTAAAATTCCTGTTAGAACAGTTGAGTTTTCTAGTTCTGAATCTCCATTTCCTTTCTTCAAAAACACTTCAGTCCCTAATGTAAATCAAAATGCGAAACTACTTTCCTAAGATGATTGTTTCACTTATAGGTAGTTTAAGATAGTAGTCAACAGTACTGGGTATGTTCGAGGCTCCGCTCAGAAGCTTGGAGCAGTGGAGACTTTCTGCTACAGTTCAGACCTAAGCTATCAGACTCTGTGTCTATCCAGAGCTTTTAGGAACCTCTCAGACATTCTGAGGACCAGCCACATTCAGAAGGCAAATCAAGAATGCAAGAACAAGCAGCAATGGATGCTGCTGAGGATGCAAAGGACCCTTGAATGCTGTTGGAGGACATATGAGAGTCTGGCCACTGCAGAATCAGCATTAATGTTCTTCTGAGAGAGAGAGAGAGAGACAGAGGGAGGGGGCAGCTATGCTCTCCACACAACAGGTTGGAAATAATATTAAGGGTTCATATTCAACTAAGTGTCAGTGTGCCAGGCAATGCTGTGGCACTTGCCTACTCTGAGGTCACTTCTTCACATTTTGATCATTCCCTAAACCCCACACACCCTCACCTCTTGCTTCCTCTCAATAGATGACCGTATGTCGTCACTTTGCAGAGATCAGAGAACCTTGTGTACCTACCTACCTTTTGATTTCTTGTTGGCTATGGTACACCATCTCTTCTGTGGGATTTGGAGTCCGGTCCTCTCTCCTTTCATATATTCCCTTGGTAAATGTCCTTGCGCTCCACCCCAACTCCTCCTCCTCTATGAGACTATGTTACCACCGAATCTCGAAGAAGCCACTTCCGCCCACTGCTACATCTTACTTGTTCCTTAATGACGACACTCCTGAGTTGAATGCTGACAGGTGGAATTGGGAGTGGCATCTTCTACTTTTATCTCAGGTCACTAATTAACTCCCATCTCCTCCTCGGGTCCTTGAGATTACCTTTGCCAGACACTTCTATTCCCCTCACTGTGCCAAATCCAATTGCACAGCTACTCATATCCTGGTCCTGTAGCAGGGGCAGATAACCCCTTCTCTCATGACACACTTTGTTTTCATGGCTTAGACAAAACTCATTTACTGGGTTTCTTCCACCACAGAAATCCCTACTCAGTCTCCTTTGCTAGCACCTACTTGGTCAAATCTCTAGATATTGGGCTCTATGAAGATCTAAGCCTATGCAGGACTGCATTCCACTAAATGACTGCATTTAGGCTTATGATTTTAAATAGTATTTACATGCCAAATGATAATGCATATGTAGCACATTTCTGGTCCTCACCCTGGAATTATAGAAAGTACATAAAATTGCTTGTCTGATGGTGTCATCTGTTCAAGAAACACGAAAACTACAAAGTTCTTTGAACAGAGCCTTTCCGTCTATCCATAACCCTCATTAACACAGCACCAAAATGATCCCAGAATTCCTTGGCCCAGGATCTGGCCCCATAGTGCTCCCATTTTAAAAGTGAAAATCTTGAACTCTAGAGTTTCCTTTTTGAAGTCCTAACATCAATTTCTTGGCAACTCTTGATAAATCTACCTTTAAAATAAAATTACTGGAAATAGCATGGAGACCTCCCAGAATATGAAGTATGAAAATACCACATGATACAGCAACTTCATTTCTTAGGTGTTATTAGCCCAGAGGTTTGAATGGGAATTTGCATAGAGATATATAGGCCTATGCCCAAAGCAGTGTTATTCACAGCAGCTAAAAGGCAAAAGCAACCTGGGTGTCCATTGACATATGAAAAGGACAAAATATATATACAATTATACTTACAATGGAGTACTGTTCCCTTGAAAAGAATAGAATTCATATAAATGCTACAGCCTTAATGAACATATTAATGTCTGGAAGACAGTGTTGAGTGAAACAAGTCAGACCCGAAGGAGCCATTATTGTATGACTCGGGTTATGAGTGGTACGTAGAGCAGCCATAAATAGAGGTCATGAAAGGGGTTCCTGTGGACTAGGGTAGACATAGAACATTATCATTTAAAGGTACAGAGCTCCAATGCAGGTCAACAGGAAAGCTCTGAGGATGTGAGGTGGCTATGGTTTCAACCATGCTCAAGTATTCACTATATTTTGTCACTTAAAATGATCCAGTTTCATATCTTATACAACTTAAACATCAATAGATGAATTAGTAACAGAATTCATATCTGCTGCTGCAAAAGCTACTGCAGTGGTACCTTTCTCTTGCTTCCCCATCTTCTCCTGAGCATCCATTATCTTCCTAGCATCTGGCAAGGAGTACTGCACTCCATGTGCCTTCCCTGCTTGAGCTCTCACTGGGTTCCACCCCATAGGGAACAAGAGTG